TGTAATGAGTCGGGGTGTACCAGCTTCTCTGGTTCATCTTAGCTTCCAGGAAGGGTACAGCCTTACTGTATCCAGGTGTGCTTCTTTCAGGGCTGGGACATTTTTAATCAACCTAGGGATTTTTCTATTAGAGGAACAAAGGTAATAAAAAAACCCTCAAATATTTGCAGACAATGAAGGGAGGAAGATTCAGTTTTCCAGCCTAGGAGGAGGAAGAGGAAGAAATTGCTGACTGTACATCCAGAAGAAAAGGAAGATCTTTCAAACTGTTGGGGCTTACACATTTTTTTTACTAAACTGACCTCAGCATTTCTCTTTCGCTTTGTGTTGAGGAATATTTTATGATGGGAAAGTGGGAATTAACTTTACATAAAACCATTGCTTTAATTTTAAAATATTTTACACATCGGACTCCCAGTAACTTCCTGTGCTATAAACCTGATAAGAGACTCCACAGTATGGAATATTGATTTATTTCTCAAATGACTGAAGTTAGTCCTTCTTCAGAAGAGAACAGGGGAAAGCAAGTGCAGGGACAAGACTGAAGTCAGGAGACCTGAGCTCTGCTTTTGACTTGTCCTCTGACTTCTGTGATCTTGATGGGTGTTTGTGTTTTGGAGGTCCTAATTTGGAGTCTCTAATGAAAGTGGTCCTAAAAGTAGTCCCATTAAATGAATAAAACCAAAAATATAATTTCTGTTCAGTATAGAATTTACCTGTACCTATATTTAGCTACTTCTCTACGGCTATACTAATAATATTCAAAGAGTTTAATGAGAGACTTTTATGATATTTATGAAATGCTTTGCGATTCATTTATGAAATGCATTGTTTATTGTGTAGAGGCTGGAAATAATTTCTTGCCCACCTGGATTTGCTCAGAAAATTATTTCTGTGGTCTGTGAAATCCACAGCTATTTATTATTTTCATGTGAAAAGCTATGGCTTTTGTTTTGTTTGTTTTTGACAGAATAATAGGCTCTTAAATGTTTCCTAAAAAGCTGGAAACTACCAGTATAGACGAAGATTTGCCTTTAACATATATGGACATATTTTACTTGAAGCATGGAAAAATACTTTTTGGTAATATAGAGTACTTCTCTTGGAAGATTTTAACTAAAGATTTTATGGCCTTTAGTAGGATCTGTTACACGTGTTCTGTAAAATAACATTCCTAACAGCATGCAGTGGTATTTGATGCAATTTTTTTCGTGAGCTCTAGTGCAGAAGTGGCTCTGAGACTCTTTGAGGCAGAATTCATTGTCTCCTGTTTGCTTAAATATTTACAAGCAGCAAGTGTATTTCAAAGTAAGTGCTTGTTAAAGGAGGAAAAATAAACAGGTCATTTTAAGCAGTTGCAGTAAGAATCACTGTATTTTTATGGGTATAATCTGTATCTCAGATACCTCGTACTCCTTTCAAAGAAATTGGGAGTAGGTCCTCCAAAAACTGCACAAATCAGAGGCCAGGGAGCTGTTGAGGAGGAGGAGAGGAATTAGGAGAGAGTGGTTCAAGGGTTAACTTCCCTCTTCCTTATACCTGTGTATAAACCTCACCAATATAGGTTGAAAAGAGTTTGCTTTTACAGATAGCCAGTAGGTTTAAACATGAAAGTGCAGCGTTTCTCATTCTTTTGGAGCTAGCAAGGTTTTATGTTTGTCACAGCAAGTCTTTCTAGCCATGGTGCCATGGTTCGCATGGAGACCTGAACACTGTGTGGAGAACAGGCTTTGGTGAAAGAGTGGGCACAGGAAGGATTGTGCCTCTGGGTTTGTCCCATCTTTTCATGTTCCTGGGCCTTATGTTAAATCATAGAATCATAGAATAGTTTGGGTTGGAAGGGACCTTTAAAGGTCATCTAGTCCAAACCCCTGCAATGAGCAGGGACAGCTTCAACCAGATCAGGTTGCTCAGAGCCCCGTCCAACCTGACCTTGAATGTTGCCAGGGATGGGGTTTCTACCACCTCTCTGGGCAACCTGTTCCAGTGTTTCACCACCCTCATTGCAAAAAATTTCTTCCTTATGTCTAGTCTAATTCTATTCTTCTTTAGTTTAAATCCATTATTCCTTGTCCTGTCACAACAGGCCTTGCTAAAAAGATTCTCCCCATCTTTCCTGTAGGCCCCCTTTAAGTACTGAAAGGCTGCAATAAGGTCTTCTCGCAGCCTTCTCTTCTCCAGGCTGAACAACCCCAACTCCCTCAGCCTGTCCTCGTAGGAGAGGTGCTCCAGCCCTCGGATCATTTTTGTGGCCCTCCTCTGCATCCACTCCAACAGGTCCATGTCCTTCTTGTGCTGAGGGCTCCAGAGCTGGATGAGTACTCCAGGTGGGGTCTCACCAGAGCAGAGTAGAGGGGCAGAATCACCTCCCTCGACCTGCTGGCCACGCTGCTTTTGATGCAGCCTGGGATACAATTGGCTTTGTGGGCTGCAAGCGCACATTGTTGGCTCATGTCCCGCTTTTCATCCACCAGTACCCCCAGGTCCTTCTCTGCAGGGCTGCTCTCAATCCCTTCATCCCCCAGCCTGTATTGATACTGAGGGTTGCCCTGACCCAGGTGCAGGACCTTGCACTTGGCCTTGTTGAACCTCATGAGGTTCACACAGGACCACCTCTCCAGCTTGTCCTGTGGACATCCCTCTGGATGGCATCCCGTCCCTCAGGCGTGTCAACTGCACCACTCAGCTTGGTGTCGTCTGGATGTAAATAAGCATGGATAGTAGGGCACATACTTAATTTTTGGGATTCGGTATCTTAATTTTGAATTTGAGCTGTATTATCTCAGAGTGTCCAGGCTGGGAGTATGGCTTCCTTAGCCAGACTGGAAGGGGGCTGTGGTGAGCACGGAGGGTTACCCCAGTGAGGGAAGTGTTTGGTCCTCACATTTGTAGAGGCTTGGTGTTGTCCCCCAAAGAGTGGGATTGGTTGTCTAAAAAGGGCTTGGTTCCTTGCTGCCCGTTCCTAGTAACCCACTTTTGGTTTGTTATTGTTCTGTCACCGAAGCACTGGAGAATTGTGTTTGCTTCGTTTGATGTTGTATGGACTTAGCATTGCAATATCAGGTGGCAGTTTTGATGGTTTATTGATTGCTAAAGCATTAGAGAGCCCTAGCTTATACTTATTTCTCTCTGGAACATGTTTAGATAACATCAGGCTTACACTTCCTGTTAGTCATATTCAGATTTTAGAAAAAAATGTAGGTATAACAGTACATACTCTAGCAGGGAGACCTTCTTAAGTTTATTTTTATGTTCTTGAAATCATTGAGTTAATCTGTGGTGAAAAATCTGTACAGAATGGCTTATCTAGGACTTTATCTAGAAGAGCAAAAATGGTTGTCTGCAGTTCATGTGTTGTCCCTCACAAAATGATATTTTTTTTCCTCGACAAAGTTGTTCTTTGCTGCTTAAATTAATTTCTGTATGCCTGTTACAGAAGAGTAGTGGTTGAACACTTTTAGTTCCCCAATAATGGTTTCTGTAAATCCTATAAGGATGTTTGGAGAGTTTCCATGGACACCCATGTTTTGTTAAAACTTTTGTCTGGAGTCAAGAATAGAATGGGACCACAAGTTAGGAGAAGAACCTAGAAAGGAGGGGAAAAACAAGTAGGAAAAGGGCTTCAGTGTTGCCAAACCATAGTCTGGTACTGCCTGTCCCATGTATAAGTGAGATAAGAGAAATGAAGTGAGAGTATAGCCTGTGTGAAAGTGGGAGGATCAAGTACAAAACATAACGTCATGTGATGCTTCAGAAAATTTCTGCAGTATTGCCTAGGAAACACACTGCCAGTTTGCAGTCAGCAGCCTACGCATCTCGTGGCTCCGAGTAACTGTTAGCATCTCGGGAAAGCCCCTGGGACCATCTGTAGCTGAAGCGTGTTCTACGTGTCACACAATCCCAGTCCCCAGAACAGGGCTTTTACGCAGACTTCCTTTTGCAAGCATGGGAAACCTGCAAAGCCCTTGTTTTGTTGTTTGGCTGCTTCCTCAGCACTCTTGGTTTAAACTTCTGCACCTTTCTTCCTGTCCTGTAGGTACCCAGTACATCAAGCAACTGCTGGCCAGGGTTAGTTCTTTACTACTTCAAGCTAGATCTTTTGTTTCTCCATAAGGGATGTTAAGATAACTACTTTGTTACTAATACCAAGAATTATAGGCTAGCTTTTATTTTTGTACATTCCTCCATGTGTTCTCCTAAAGAACTGATAAAACAAATGATTCTCTAGATTCCTCTATTGATAAGGCATATAAGTTTCCTTTCATGGGAGTCCAGAGGAGAAGAAAACTGCCTTCAGTAGCACAGCTTTGCAGAGCACGCCTACGGATTGTTTCTCAAGATCATTCAGGATAACTTTCAAACTTTCCCATGGCATATCTTGACCGATACCATGTTTCCACAGCACTGATTTGTTCAGCAATGTATATGGCAGATGTCATATGCTTTGAATTATTTTAGGAGTTAGTGTCTTCTGAAAGAGAAGGGATTTCGCACATAGCTTTTACGTTTCTCAACAACAAAGCGTAAGGTAAGAGTGAAGGATAGACTACTTCGATTAGCCCCAGATTTTTAAATGTTGACTTAGAATGCTGGTAGGTAACAGAAGGGATTCCTTTAATTACTGTCCGTGAAACACACCCTACGTCAGGCTGCCCTGCAGGGCCCAGAGTATCTGTCAGCCCATTGCATTGGAACCTGCTTTCTGCGTATTCTGAGTCGCATCACCTGTGTATCTCCTTGGCGCTGGCCATAGACGCCAGGCTGACAAAGTGTTTCTTGGACAGATAAAGAAATTTGGAAGGAGGCATTCCACCATCTTCAGTCATTGGTGTGATTTCTTCCCTAGCAAGTAGGTGAGATGCTGTAGCTGCCACTTGTCAGAACTGTGTTGAGCTCAATGGAGTGAATGTGCTGGAACCGGGAAATATTTATAAAGGTGATGTCTGGGTATCCAGTGTTAAGAACAGAAACTGATTCTTTTTTTCTGTCTGTCTCTTTAGGTCTCCAAAAGGTGATGTCCATAGTGAAGGATATGTCTTGGAGGTAGAGTGCTGCTCCTCTTTAAACCAACTTTCAGACAAAAAGGAGATACCTGATTTTATTAAGAAAGTGAGTAAAGGAAAAAAAAAAAAAAGGCAAAACCTAGAACACAATATACTTTTATTTGCATTATAATTACCGCTTCTAGTTCTGTCAGTCTGACAATAGGAATATGTGTACATTTTGTGCAGTTGAAACACTGCACTAGAATTCGGTGTTTTGTAATTTTAAATTATTGAGAGAAACAAGTTTGATCCTATTATTCTGAGAAAATGATTTGTAGTATCACAGGAGGGTGACCTCTCACAGATTGTATCAGCTAAGTTACCAGTGTAGAAGACAGTCCTGTAATTGGGTAAACATTTTAAGTTGAAACAATATATATAATTTCCATTTTAGTGTCAAAATATCCTGTGGGATAGTACTGTAGCTAAAAGGCCTATTAATTCCCAGAATCCCCCAGATTAATTTTTGTTTCAGTATCACATGATGTTAGCAGTTAGAGATGGTACTGGTAAGTAACCTGAATCCCTTTGTCATCCAGGATAGTTTTGCTTTCTATAAACTTTTATATATACTGGGGAATTTGAAAAGAACCTTGCAATTCTTTATTTGTTGCCTTCTTTTTAAAATTATTTTTGATGCTGTAATACTCTGCCAGACTGGAAATTAGAAGGTTATGTCCATTTTAGTGAAGACAGATTCATTGTGCATGTTTCAAATTTTGCAGCATCTGTTGTGTCCTATTGCATGTTATAAAAAATAGCATTAAATACTGTATTTACTCAGCCACATGGTGTAAGAATAGTGTGAGTAGGTATACTCTCCCAGCTTTAATCCATCTTGCAGTGACAATAGTTAAGAAAATTTTGTAGAACAAATTTCAGCACAGGCTGTATGAACTTGATAGGGACTCAGCTTGACAGACTGCGCTTATGTTCAGTCTTTCCTTTTTACTATGAATTGTAAAAACTGGATTAAAAATAATGCAGCTGACTATTTGATTATTGTCATCATACTTAAAGATATATAGATTTTGGTATCAGAACAAACTGAAGTTTTCTGAACACTTACTAGTATTCAGAAGTTTGAGTCCGAATTTTGTTTCAGGGTTTATTCTGTTATTGTACTTTTATTCTGATCCTATCTTGGATTATTGCAATATATTCACACTTAGGCAAAACTGGTGTAGTTCTTGTGTATCAGTTTCAAGATGTTTGATTTTGTTCTTCAGTTCTTTGAGTCGGAGTAGAAATATAGGCTTATCTGTCACAACTGGTAGCAAAATTTTATATCATTGCAACAGAAAATGTCTTTGCATTTGTAACTTCAGAAAGAGTATGGCTAATGTGAAAACAAAATGACAATCCAGGAGTCAGCTTATTTCCATAAATATCCAATTCTGAGACTCTAAAATGTTTTTCTAGACATGGAAATGTTTCTGTTGTTAGAAGCCATTTGATTATGGGGTTATGAAGATGCCTTTTTTGAAATACAATAATTTAAATTTTAATAGCTAAAATGTATATTTACTGTTTCTCTGTAGGCTGAGTATGTCGCTCATCTTCAGATGTTATTTGATGTAGAGGAATTTGAAGTTCTTTGAAGCTGTTGCTGTCAAGTGTGTGCTGTGTCACTGTCTATCTGATTAAACACATTGTGAAAGTCTCAACACTTTTATGTAAATCTAACTCGGGAAACAGGACTTGTTTGGGAGTAGGAATTAATTGTCATATTAACTAATTTGTCTGAGCAACAAAAATGTCCATTGCTTTTAAGGGCATATAAAACACATGTTTACAAACAAAATAAATGAAAAATAAAGGAGTTCTTCAAAGAAAGAAGTAACAAAAAGCTGTTAGAGGGGGCAATTGCTTGCTTTCAAAAAAGAACAACCCTGTAATTCTTCTCAAAGTGTGGAATACAATTGAAGAATAGAGTGTTGTAACTGAATAGGCAAATCCTTGATCACAGAGCTTTTCATAACAGAGGCTTTTAGCACAGGTTTAGCATCTTACTGCCTTGCAAATTACTATATTTAAAAAAAAGATACCAAATAGAGTAGCCATATTTTCAAAACAAAATAAAAAGTCAAAATTTTCTCCAACTGTGAATATACTAGAAAAAATTCCTCTACCCTGAGAAAATTAATTTTATTATGCACTGCTGAGCAAGTATTGTTTACACGGAGTTTGAGCAAAGATGCAATTTTAATAACTTCTTTTCTCAATTGACTTTTTGTTACATTGAATATGTATGTCATATTAAGTATTAACTGCTTGCTCCTGGCAAACACAAAACAATTTTGCAGTGGCATACAGCATAGGTAATATCTTTTTTCTTCTTCTATAACTCCATATAAATGTTTAAGAGTAATGAAGTAGAAACAAGGATGTTATTTCACCTGGAGAATGCTTCTAGAAGCACCAGACTCTGGTCAAACCTGTGTTCTGTTGCTGAGATCTTTCTGCACTTTGGGACTCTGTCCCAATTCTCTACTCTTTTCTGTACATTTTGCCACCACTGTGGTTTCCAACTGTGGTAAGAGCTGTGGAAGACAGGAGATAGTTAAGTATTGGGGACATAATGTTGCATGGGATACACTCTTCATGTACCTGAAAATCATGTTCACATCACAATGTTCTGTTTGTTCTTTCATATTAATGTGGGTCTAGTGCAGCTCAACATGTCCTAAAGAGCTCAAACAATCCCATGGTGTCTTTGTCATGTCATTCCTGGGAAACAAAAGAATTAACTTAAATGTTGTATATGTACTTTACCGCTGCATTGGTATTAGCACTCCTGTCTTTAGCTCTCAGGCAAAACAGAGATTAAAGATTTGCTCGTCTGCTTTTTAATGAGCAAAGCTAACTTCTGATCACTGTGGCTCAGATCATTCTGAAGTTGTTGCAAGTCAGAGATGTTACTTCTAAGATACTGTATTTTGTAATACTTTGTGTCTCATGTAAAATAGGGTAGCCTTTAATTACTTCCTTAGTTGCTTTTTATTTCTGTGTATCCTGTTATCATTTTTTTCATTTGAGAGTGTTCTCCTGAATCTGCTGAGACAAGTAAGGGGGGAGAAGAGAGGCTGACATCCCAAGAAAAGAATTTTTTTGGATACGCAGTCATATATGAATGCCAAATGACCTTTGTTTTACACATCAATCTGAGTTACATGCTCTAGAAGAACTGTAACGGGCAGAATTCACATCTTTGCAGTGTTGGTGAAAGGTTAGGAAATGGAGGATAGTTTCTGTACCATTTCTGCCCAGTTCTGACTTTTTAAAATTTAGGAAGCGCTTGGTTGCCTGCTTAATGCTCTGTCAGAAGGAAATTCTTGTATGTTAGCTTTTTTTCATTTTTACCCCATTGCAGAGTTCGTATTTCTTGTCCCTGTGGACTCATTATCTCTCCCTAGGGAAGTATGATAAGCACGGAAAAGCACGGTTTAAAAATGCTGCTGGTTAACTGAAATTCAAATGCAGGCATCTTCCTTTTGTGTTTTTTACTAGACAAGTACCTCTCCCTGCTGGTCTGGCCTTATTTGACTCAGAAATGAGGCTAATTTCTTCCAACAAACCTAAGGCTGTACAGATGAATAATTGGTCTTGCGTTTTCAGAAGTGGACCAGTTCAGCTTGGAACACAACTGCCATCTTGAAACACCCATGTAATGCTTATCTTGTGACGAAATCTGCCGTATGGAACAGTGTCAGATCTGCTCATTGCTGTTCCCTCTGTTCATAGTCTTGGTGAACTTCATAGAATCATAGAATCATTTAGGTTGGAAAAGACCTTTAAGATCATCCAGTCCAACCATTAACCCACACTACCAAGTCTACTCTAAGCCAATCAAGGGTAGACTAGACTAAACCATGTCCCCAAGTGCCACATCTACCCGTTTTTTAAATACTTCCAGGGATGGGGACAGCAAGCATACAAATGCCATCACCAGCACTAGCTCAAAAGCTGCCAGTAACATGTCACTCCTTTAAGTGGTCCTTTGAACAACTTCTGTAATCCAAAGTACCTTAGAAATAATCTTGACTCCTGAAGATGTAGTGACTTTGCCCGTGAGTTTGTTGACATTTATTTTCTAGTAATAGCATTGCTGGGTAAAGGAAGTGATGGTACCTCTCAGATTTAAGCAAGTGGAACCCCAGGGAGGGATATGCCAACAGAACACAGTGCAAGGATGCTGCCACCCATGTACTTGTTCTAGAGTTGGCATCTGAAACAGTGACCACCAGTTCTCCCTGGTACAAAGGCAAGTTGTGTAGGGAATTGGCCTGTTTTGAAAGAAAGGCCATACAATACTAACAGTTGCATGAAGAACTCACACCCTGCATTGCAGAAAGGATCTGCCATATTTGAGCCCTCTTGCCAGTTTTATGGAATATGTGATATGAACTGGTATTTACTGGATTTTTTCTAAACGTCTTTTAAAAAAGAAAATGTTATCAGGAACAGAACTGGCATGAGGAATTAGTATGTTTCAAGTGTTAGTTTATGCACTGGAAATTAATACACACTACCAACAAGTTTAAGCTGTAGTTGAACTTGCTCAGTGTACTCCTGAAAGGTGAGAGACATTTCTTGGAGGGGTTCGATCCTCCTGCTGTTATCTGCCCTCGCTCCTTTGGAGGGAGCGGCAGGCAGGAGACTGGTTGAGTGGTTGGGTAAGGAACTGCTACACACCCCAAACAACCACAGGTCAGTCTCACTGCATGTTTCTCCATATTGATGTTTTTTATCAAAATACTGAGATACTTAGTTTCCTGCTCTCATTTTTTTTCCCTGCATTCATCTCTAGCTGTTTTGGTGTTATCAAGATAACTGCTATTTTCTTAGTTCACATGCATCATTTTCTGGAGAGTCATCTGTGTTATGGCTCTAATTGGTGAAGAATTTTTGTCTTAGTATTGCTGTTAAAAGACAGGTTAATTCTCCAGCTTCTTTTAAGTTGCTAGGTAGAAGCAGGGTTGGAGTATTTAGGTGGACTTCTCTCTCCTATAAAACAAAAACTGAAAGCCTATATGAAGTCTCAAGAGCTTTTAAAATCTTTTC